AGCCTCCCCCCGCCATGGTGGGGGGGAAGCTCGGGTTGGTGTTACCTGCTCAGACACCAGAAAGACAAAGAGCCTCAGTTCCGGATTACCTCCTTCAAAATGTGTGTTCACAGAGCAAACTAACTTTCTCCCATTGGCTGTTGAAGTTGTCCCAGTCCCCACAGAGGAAATTCTCTTAGAGAAAACCTCTCTCTGAGTTTCTTCTTCCCAAGTCAACCCATCACAAGCCCACACACTGTTGAACACCTTCTCCCTTCTCCCAGAGCCAAGTGGAAAACAGACCTCTGCTATCCTCTTCCCTGAAGCACCTTTTCAAACAGCTTCATTTTAACACCATCTCCCCTTTTGTGCATCATATCCAAAAAACACCCTGCAAAGATATTCCCTGACACCTAGTAAGACTTATTTTGTCAAGTCTTCATTTTCTGCTGAGAGCTGGAAATGTCAACATTGTCCTGCATCTTATCTCTTGTGCCTTGCTGTAGAGAGAAAAGTATCTCCCTTGTGGACAGAACTGCATATTCTCAGCCTGACAGTAACAGATATCACCGTGCTGCATTGAGTAAATTACATCAACTTGAACTAGACAAGAGATGTGTCCTGAAATATGAAAAAAAGGCAGCCACATCTTTAGACTTCTTTCAAAAAACATTTTCCTAACATCACAGTAGGAACACACAGAAAGGAGACAGAAAATTCAACAGGATGTCAATGAGGAACCATGATTTGGATCTCCTGTTTTGCATTGGACCTGCTACTAGATAACAGGTGTCCAAAAACTACTTCAGCCCAAAGATTCTCAGTCTTATATGTCTGGGGTTTAAAATTTTAATTTTATTTTGACGTGTCTTTACCATTTTGCTGCTGATTTCTTTTTCATCAGGTCTGGTCATTCTCTGAGGCCTGATCTGAAGCTCACTGAAGTCTGCATCATGATATTAGAAAGGCTCTGTTAATCAATGAGATGCTGGGGGGAGGAAAGAGCCCATGCAGTGTAATTCATGGAAATGTTTTACTGAACTGTCCATGCACAAAATACAGAACAAAAAAATCTAGCAACCTATTTCATATACTCTATGAAAATTCTTCAACTATACTAAACTCAATTCTTCTCAATTTCTATTGTTAATATCAAATAATTCTTGTTCTTCATAAAGGTTTGATAATAAAATCAATAACTTACCAGAAAAAAAAGAAACATTTTAAATTGAGAGAAACCACAACCAGCAAGATTTCAAAAACAGCTGACTACCTCTTTGGCCTCAGCCTCTATTTTCCTACCCTCCACAGTCTTGTATAACAAGAATTTAAGGTGCATTTGGCATTAACTGCTCCTTCAGGTCTTATCTGCAGACGGAAAATCTGCTCTTGAGACAGATATTACCAATGTTTAATTTACTATTGAGGAAAAGCATCCACGTATTTTTTGACTGTTCAAAAGTGTGTGGACAAGGCCCCTCATTTCCAACAGCTCCTGTTAAAAACAATAACTGCACAGTTTTCTCTACATCTTCAAAAATACTTGTCTTGTACAGCAAAGAAAATAATGTCCTTTTTCTCCTCACTAGACCCATACCAGGAGAACAATAGAGAAAGAATTTTAGAAGAGTGTTTACACATTCAATCAAACTTAATAAGCAGGCTCCACATGATAAGGAACATTAATGTCAAGGGCCATTCTGTCTAAATTTGCTTGTTCTAATAAAATCACACTTGATTTAATAAGCATTGCTTTAGTACAAGGGACTGCAAGGGGCCAGCCAAGCACACTCCTAAGCAAAGTATAAATGGTCTGGATAAATGAGATTAAAGTTTACTCTTAAAGCAAGCAAGGAACTAAGACACCATCACAGTCCATCTTGATTCAATCTTTCATCAAATACAAATAATTTCATCTCAGGCAGAGGACATTTTTTAGCACTTCTATAAGTTTTCTGATTATTTAAAAAAGATGGTACTTCAGGGTTTTCAGTCTGGTTACAATAGCAGCTGTTTCAATGACCAGATGCTTCAATTAATCTGTTTTCTTTATAACCCCATCCTTTTCCAGCATAGCGTACTGGGCCTGTCACTCATCCCTACTACATTATTGAAACTGATGTGGAAAAAAAGAGAAGGGAGTAATTAAAATGTATGTAAAATACTATAATGGAAGAAAGAAAAAACCCACATGCTTCCCCTTTTTTATCTCTCTCCAGTACAGAATTTGAAATTTGCCTGCTTTGTTTTATATCCTCATCACTGATGACTCTGGGCCTGCACAGATCTGGCAATAGTGCTGTGAATTAGCAGTCCATGCCTGTACCAAACTGGAGCTGAGAGGTGAGAGACATAAAATAAAGCTACTCTGGGATATTTTCAATAATACAGTATTGTAGCATCAAGGAAAACTTCTGTGAAATTTAGTAGGCTGGCTTACTAAGGAAATATTTCTGGGGACAAATTGTAATTCTCCTTTTGCAAACTCTAGCCACTGCCAGTCCAAGTCTCTAGGATCTGTGATGAGATGTTTGTGTGCTTGTGGCTATGTGAGCTGTTCCCAAACCATGGTACACAACCAAGAATCAGGATGACCATCTTTTCCTCTCGAGAAAAATGAGTATTTCCTGGACAACTCCTAACCATCTGCCTCTGCACAAGGCCTGATATGGAGTCAAAAGCTATTTGCAGTCACTGCTGCTATCACTGCCACATGGTACCCCATAATCTCTGCTTCTGGTACCTCAGCAAGCTCAGTACGCAAAACCCCAGGCTACATTGTTAGTACCGTGAGATGCAATAAGAAGATATCGAAGATTATGAAAGGATATTTCAGCAGCAGCTCCTGACCCTTGAAAGGCAGAATTAGGTTTGAGGAGAAGGTTGGTTGTGTTGACAGGGATGAACAGCAAGTTGGAGACAGCTACTGTAGGCAAATGTGATACAGAAAAATGAGTGTACTGTGATGGGGCATAGACAAGGTCCAAATAGGAGAAGTCGCAGAATTTACAGAAAAATCATCTGATTCCTCTGCTGCTCTGAAAGGAGTCTTTGTCCCTTCTCCAGCATCAAGAGAAGTCTGTAGCTGTATAAAATAGGATGTCAGTGTCCTCTGGAAGCTCACTTGCCCAGATTAACCAGATTAGCAGTAGCAAGCCAATGCCTGTGCTCTGCAACAAGGGGTTTACATGACAATTGATTGTGAATAATCATCCAATGATCCTAAGCAGATCTAACCCAACCCAGTGCCTTCTTTAAGGGAGCAGGGGTTTTACACTCTCTTGGTTTGCCAACAAGGACATTGCACCAAGATCAATAGCAAAGACTGCACTCTTCACAACACAATTCAAATCTTCTGTAGTCCTTGGCCCCGGGTCTACAAAATTTGCAGATTTGCAACTCCCCTCCCATAAGTCCAAGCAAAACCAAGAATGTGTAGCTCTGATATCTGAGAAACTACTCTCTGTAGTAATTCCATTGTGTAAATTCTGTATCTGCAGGAAAAATAAAACAAAAAAACATACTGTTACCCCACTCCCTTCAGAACTGCTGTGGAAAAATGTCCAAGAGCATCTACTTACAATACAATTGAATGTATAATGTCAGGTAATAACCTCTCCAATTGTGAGTTATTTATATGTAAAGTTGCCACAGTAAAGCACCACATTATTTCTGCTCTATTTCAGCACTCAGCAGCTAATGCAGAGGTGACAGCATCAGAACAAATACCTGAAAAGAGCAGGACTGAGGGAAGCAAAGTTCACATCACTCGGTGCTTTGAGAAAAGCCCTTGCCTCAGCCAAAACACAAGTGAACCAGGGCTGAATTATGACACTGTGTACAAGTTCTTTGGGATTAAATGGTTCTGCCACAAATATTTGGTTGGTCAGATGATTTCAGGCTTTGAAGGGACATTGTTATATAAGAACATATCAGTCTATCGATTTTAGGAAAAGGAGAGGTATTATAGGACAAAACAGAAAGAATAATGCAAACCCCGTGGGTGTAAAGTTTTTGGGGAACACTGGGTTACAATTTAGTCATATTCATGTCCTTTGGAAACATCCCATTCAACTAGGAAACCTCTCTAAGCAGTACCTGTTACCACTGATAAAGGGGAATGTATTCACTACCCTTTAAATAAAAAAGGCCATTTGTTTTACCCTTCCTGAATGCTTTTCCTATATTGCCATTACAATGAGAAAGCACAACAGCTTCCCTACTGTAAAGCTGCTCACTGTTGTCAGTATATTTTCAAGGGAAGAGAGAACTGTGAGAGTAAACTCCACCTCAGGCTCCTATAGAGTTTTTAGGCACATACTGATAGGAGATAACACTAAATGGAAGTGCTTTATACAAGGTAATGTAATAGTAACAGAGCAAATATAGGAACTGTTTATTATCAAATCTGCTTCTTTTCTCTCCTTTGAAAGAAATACTGCATTGTCTCTCTCTTCCAAATGGAACTGCCACCCCAGAATTCCCCTTTATAAAAGGATTTTTCCCCATCAAGCTTTTCTGATGGGTGTCCTTGAAATGTTGCAGAGGCAAACAACTGCAGCACTAAAATGATCACTTGGCAGCTTGCTGATGTTTGCTGAATCTCTCTCTCTCTCTGAGCCAGCTCCTGCTTTGTTTTTTTCTCCCTCTTACAGTGATCTCATGCAGCATGGATATCTCAGAGACTGACTTGAAACTGCAGTTCCAAGGGGTTGGTTTTTTTTCCCTTAAGACAAAGAGAGGTATTTGCTTGAGATAAAATTAAATACTCCACCCAGCTCAACTCCACTGCAGTTCAGGTGTGAAAGCAAGCACATTTGCATAGCAGAGGGTTAGGAAACTCCATCTTTGTTTCACACTAGGGTGAAGTCTAGGATTCCAATGTTCCAGAAACCTGAAGTTCTCCTCTTTCACTTGCACTGCACAAGCTCTGACAGTGTAAATTGGGAAAGGCAAATCACTTTTATTCCTTAAAAGAAAGAAGCACAAAAGCCTTTGCTTCATTTCCTTCACAGTAGCTATGGTTAGGCCTCAGAGAAAACTGATGCACTCTTAATTCTTATAGGTATTTATCAGGAAATAGTCTTGTATCAGGAAAATATGTTAATCTGCTTATGCTATTTAACTGCTCCCTGAATTTATACTGAGCTTACAACAACAACAACAACAAATCTTCTTGACTCTTTGCAATTCAACTGTAAGCAATAACTGACCAAAGCAAAATAGGGGTGGAAAATCTGTCTATCAAATAACATCAACTAATCTACTTGCCTAGTTCCATCCTCCTACTGGACAACAGAAAATACAATTTCACTTTTCAGAAACCAGCCAGCCACCATAGCATATACTAGTCCTTACCATGTACTCCTAGACCTACCAAATACATAGCCAGCAAAGAAAATGGGAACCCACATCAGTGTCTTACTCTGGTTTTCACCAGTGGAGCTTTCAGGACCATCAGGCCCATTTCTTTGTGTTTCCTGTGACAAAGAGGCTATGCAGCTACTAAAACAGAAATGGTCCTGAGCCATGTTCTGTATACATGACAATGTATGTGGCACAGTATACAAGTTTTATTTGCCCTTGTTAAGGATGACATACGTAACTTGGTGTGGATATAAAACTTTAGCCAATAAAACTTGTGGCCATAAACTTTTGCTAATAAAAACCTTCTATGCTATATTGTCAAATATTTTCTCTTCCTCTAATGATATAGAAATACAATGATATGATGAGCAGGTAGATTCATTCAGACATTAGGCTAGACCTGTGTGAGACGTTTCTAACTGCAGTACATTACAAGATATAAACCTGTCCAAATCTGACCAGCAGTAATTTAGGAAGGCTTAAAACTTATCATGGCCAACAGATCTCTGATTATCACAGAGGAGTTATTGCCTGCTGTGTAATTAGTTTGCTCTCACTGAGCTAGCCCATGGCTTACAGGCATTTTGCAGTGCTGTAAAACACCCTGGAGAAGGATGACTGCTGCAGATGGAAAAGCACTCTCCATGGCACCACACGGGCCGGGAGAGCTCCGTTAGCCCTCTGTGCCTGCTGCCTTCAGAGCTGAAGAACCTGCTTTACATCCTGCTGCCTCCACTTGGTGTTTTATGTGCACAGCTGGCTAATGACTGTGTTGTATTATGTATAAAACCATTTACTGTGATATGCTCGTGCTGTTAATATGCTGTAGAGTATTTTTGCTTTGTTTAAGGGGCAACTCTGGGAAACATTAATGCAGAATGGTACAAAAACAAGGGTAATTCCAGTCCAGACTGCAAGAAGAAATCCACAGAGTGGCCAAACATTTCCATCTGCTCAGTGAACAAAGAGGCTTTCATGCTTCAACTTATGCCTTCTGCTGTCAGCAGTTGAGTAAGGAATCTTCCTGGCATTTGTAAGAGGCCATGTTGCAGAATGCTGCTTAGCAGTGCTTCTCTTTGGTGGCCTCCATGTGCCTTGTCCCTCAGTCTAGGCAGGAGGCTTCCAGGCTGTTTTGACTTGCTCTAGCCCCTTTGCAACTCTCCCCAGGGAAGGTGCTGCTCCACTGCACCAAAAGAAAGCAGTGGTCAGAAGACAGGAATTAGGTTTTGAGAGTTTGATTCTAACCATTTCACTCTCTTCTCAGATTAACAATTTATCACACACTTCTTGAAAGTGTAAAACAGCATGAAAACCTTTGCTTCAGCCTGTCCTACACAATTTATGTCTGGAATCTCCATGTCTTAAGAAGATGTCTGCTCTGGATAAAAGCAATTATATACAGAATGTAGGGTAGGCCTGTTACCTT